AAGTTTAGGGGAGTTAATGCCCCATGGGAAAGACATTTGGCAAATGGGAGAGGAAACCAGCAGATACCTTCTTCCCCTTTCCTTCCATTGGCTGGGCTGTCCTAGATGTAGTGGTCATATGGCCTGTCAGAAAATGGTCTCTGTTGATCAAAGAATCAATTGTTTTTGATAGCAATTGTTGGCCAGATTGGTAAGAAACCCTCAGTAGGGGTCTCCTTCCTTTATCATTTCATTCCTATTTTCCTTCACTCATGCTCCCCAGGGATCATATTCTGTAATAAAATAGTAGCACCAAAGTCTGTGTCTTGGGCTGTCTTTTCTTGGACACCAGACTGAGAAATATTTATTCCCCAAAGGTTATTGTAAAACTCTATGGATATGATGTTTCCCTTGTGGAAAAATTTTGACTTCTGCTTAAATATTTTTAGGACTCTTTAGATTATTTAGCTTTCTATTTCTCCTTGGGTTGATTTTGGTAAATTATGTTTTCCTAGGAACTAGCCTATTGCTTTTAATATTTCAAGCAATGTTTTTCACAATTCTTAACAACAATTATGATTTTCTTGAGTTTAGGTTTTCAATCCACAAATTAAAAAAAAAATTACCAGTATGTACTACTTGTTAACTGCTAGAAAGTGCTTGTTTTTGGAAAGTGAATGCACAAGCAGCATGAATATTAATTGAACAACTGAGAAATGGCCAATTAGGCCCTTTTCCTTATAGACATGAGTATTGGTAGATGTAATTTTAGATTCCAAGTGATATATCACAAGTTTTTCCCTTAGTAGCATATCTCATAGTTGGTACAATAGAATTAAGAATATCAATATTTCATGAAAATAGACTCATGAAATCTAGAAGCAGTTGCCTCCTAATGAGTCTTGAGAACTGCTGGCTTTTCTCTGATGTGTGGCCAGGTTGGAACCAGCCATGCCCTCCACATTCTCTACCTGCTTGAGTCTGGTCCACTGGAGAGCAGTGCCAGCAGAGGTCTCCAGAGACTCTCAGATCACAGTGATGACAAGTTAATTTTACATAGAAAATTGTTTTGTTTTTCCCAGCTCGAGAACAACTCCCCCCTTAAATAAACCACTTCCCTAAATGGTGTTTGCATTATTTTACATGACTTGGATGGCTGCTTCAGGTGATCATTCAGATCCTTCTTGGTCATTGTTCTCATTACTTGACTGCTGCCCAAATTTATCTCCCTGATTAC